ATAGCAGTTTTGTGCGCGTCGGGCTGATGAAGATATCGTTCCAGTCCCTGGGCCGATGCTTCGTTTCCTTTGTGAGAAGCCGGAATTATTGACTGTAGCACACAAGCTGCGAATAAGACTCATTATTGCCAGTAAGCCTTCTACGAATAATCAAGATCGTCCCGACACCAGACAAGGTGCCAAACAAACCAATTAGATGATATCGAGCGACACATTATCAAGCCGGGATCGATGGGTAATAAGTGTTTAATAGGCGAAAAATGTTTTCCGAATGGGGGCCCCTTTAGCGCGTCAGAAGAAAAAGATGTTGATGGGCGAGGACGCAAAGATGGATTGATTACGATTCAAAATTCTGGGAGCGACAACGAGTGATCCAGATGATGGAGTCGACTTGTTTTTCAAAGTCCTGCGGTTAGTTCGAAGCCTGAGAAGAATCTTACCTTAGAGGGTAGCCGCTGGTGTATCCCACGACTATCACTTACCCATCGGCTCAGCCATCCAGCTAGATCTCTAGAGGCTGATTTTGCGTTTTTATTGAATCGATTTTGGTGAATCCCCAACTTTGACCCTTTCAACATATGGTGGCTATTTTCATAATATACCTTTTGATGAATGGCAATTTTGCGGTCTTTTTAAGGTGTGTTAGGTATAGTTACATGTTTACACGCGTTCAAAGGATAAATTCATATTTTTGCATCGCTCCAGGTGCCAGACACAGAGTTGCTGACGCCTGTCACACGATCCAATCACAGAACAGCTCACTTGCATTTCCCTGGGCTAATATCCATACATCAGGGAGGCTACATGATTCCTTATTCTTCCGAGGAGGATAGCCCGGGTCTTCAGGCCATTCCGTAGTTTACCATGGACACTTGTACCCAGCGTTCCACGCCTTGTTTCGTCAATTTTGCGGCAATCGGGCCTCCAGAATCACCCTAACATCGACATTTTTAACAAAATAGAGCAAAGCACGAAAAAGCTGCTGCTCGAAAAGAAAAAGCTTACCTGACAATCGCTGCTTCTGGACCCGTTTAGGTTTGCCCGGAAGCAGTTAAATTTTTTCGATACTACACTCCGGTTCGCCCTCCGGGGGGCTTCATGATCCTTGTCTGATAGCCGAGTAATTTTTAATGTTTCGATTGCCTGAAATTTGGAGGATATGGGCTTATTGTTGGGCTTAGGCTTATAATTAGGCTTAGGCTTAGGTCTCGGCTTAGGTTTAGGCCTAGGCCTGGGCTTCGGCTTAGGCCTTGGCTTATGTAGCTTATCCAGGCTTCGGAAATGCCGATATTAAACGAGCTAAGATAGCCAAAAACTTACTAGTTGAATTTACCCGGCCCCAACCGTTAATTTCGACCTTCTGCATCTGACTGTGCTCGGATTTTCGTCCACAATTCGATTGGGTGAACGTTAGCGTTCAGAGTCACCGGGCTTTCCAGCTAGAAATATAAAGGTTTGTTTTTGCTTTCCGATTTAATGAAATCAGTGGTTTAAGTCCTTACTCGAACCAACGCGACGTCCTCGTCCCCTTCCAACTCATAGTTCGGTGCAATGTGGACTTCTTTGATAAACCTCGTTTGCTTAAAAAGTGTGATGCTACTTAAAAATTGTAAACGCTACCCCAAGTGTATCGTTTGGTCCGCCAGGTTTCAGAAGGTGCTGCCACCATCACTCGCTTAGGCAGGCCAAGGTCTTCGCTTAATAAAAAAACAGGGGTACCAGGCGAAATCGATTGATATCTCAGCATTAATTTTATCAACCGCGCTCCAATAGTATAAGAAGTTAAGTCTACCAATGGGTTTTTCCTGAGCAACTCGTTCGAATGGTGAGCTAATTTCAGCCCCTGGATTTCAAAAGCCCCCGCTTTAATGTTTCTGAATTTTCTGAGGATTTCCGGGACGCACCTTAGGAAAATGAAAGATACTTTAACATTTATCAATCTAGGACTACATTTTGCCTTGATTTGTTCAATCTTAGGCAACTCAAAAGTCAAACGAGCGTTACCGCTTCCCGTTTGGATGGAAAAAGCAATGCGCCGCCGAAAGCACCCATTCCAGGCCGATCAGGGACCCTCCACAGTGATGAGCTTGTGACGAACTGAAATTTCGAGACTTTGAGAGTTCGAAAATTTGGGTCATCGCTCGGTTTTGGAAACCTACACATTCGGAGCACGAGGATTCGGGCGCTGGATCGAGACCATATAGGGGTAGTCTCGAATTTGCCTTGCCTGTCCGTTCATGATTTTGATGTGGCGCTAAATCTAGGTGTCGAGATTAGGGCTGAGGTACCTCAAGCTCGCCATCTCCAGCGTTAACGTCATCAATAGGACCAGACGAGCCCTCAAGCTCTTAGAATAGTAGCTTCAGGGAATTAGTTCACTTAATTCCTTAGCTTTAATGCTAGAGCTTCCTCTAAAATCATGAAATGAAACCTTTGTCGTTGCTGTTAAATGGAACGAGAATAACAGTAACATCAGATGACCTAGATAATCCATGGCGACTGCAACCACTTCTTCCGCTTCAACGAAAGGTCTGCGGCTCCAGAAGTCAAAACACTGCATTGATGTGCTGCATGATATTGCTCTCGATTTTATGCGTCGATGTCGGTTCATTCACAAAACTTTTTATGCCTCTCGATAGATGAAAATCCCAAAAATTTCCAGATTTTCGCAATTTTTCGCGTTATTTTAAAGCCAATGAGTAGAGTTTTGATTTGAATCTAAAATAGTGCAAAATAAGAAAAGCTGTAGAAAAAAAACCTTCCCGGTCGGCGGGGGGGGTGAGGGGTAAAGTAAACCATAGCCATAACTTTTATTCTTCACGGACGATGGTCATGGCAAAAATTAGTGCCGGTCGTTTTAGCTATCCAATCACAGTAGGGGTTGAGCCGGCTTGAGTAACCTAAAAAACGACAGTTTTTTGAAAATATTTTAGTTAACTCACTCCATGGTACCGAGGTGTGATTGCACTTCCCAAAGTGGCCCGTCACAACGCCGAGCTGTACCCATTCCCATTTATTCGGGAACAGCTGCATTTTGGAGAAGATTGGACCTCCAGAATCGCCCTAAAATATGGTAGATCCGTTTTTAAAACAACACCTAGTACTAAACACGGCCCGACTGTGCCCCGGGACCCGAAGCAGAACATGGGGTCCGGCTCGAAGCAGGGTTGGAATAGACTGGTGGTGTAGCCGCGTAGGAATTCGGCCATCGGTCCTGAAAAAGTCGTTCGAGTACGTCCGGCTATCCCTACAGGCTTACCGCCATAGTATTTCAAGCTGCCCCATCCAATCACTTCCACATCCCGGACTCGATTCATGGGAAGGTATCGCCACAAATTGATTTTTGCTATCCCGCGGGTTTTTAGAGGGCGTGTCAGCTAGGTTTTGTCTTTTTTTGATCACGACTTATCAATGTTCTACCTCCAACAGCGCAACGTCGTGCTCCCGCGTTACGGCCAACACGGCGGTCGCCCATTCCGGACAGGGGTACGCCTTCTTGATGCGGACTTTTTGCTGAAAATTTTTTGAGATTGGTGAGCGAGAACTTACCGCCCAGGGCTCACGCGATCCGGTCGGCCCGAGCCGGCCGGTTCCGGCTACAACGATGTGTCTGGCCAGGTCTTTGCTGCAAAGGGTTGTAAAAATTTGGTGCTTATTTCACTTACACCACACTGTTGTCGCCAGGTTTTGTTATACAATGAGCAGCAGTCAGTATCCAGCTATAGCCGAGTATCGACCCGCCACACTGATGGAAGTAGCCTTTTCTACAAATAATATATTTCTACAAATGAAAATTTTAAGGCCATAAAGTTGTGTGTCAATCCATAATTTTCGCAAAACCTACTTTGACTTGGTCAGGCTTTGAATCGAGACGATAAACCGATAGTTTGCGAAGTCCCGCAGTTCCACCATCAACAGTTTTTGATATTTCTCTGAAAGCCAAGATAGAAAAATGTATGAAAAGCCACCTTTGGCGATAAACTGGCATTCCCGGGGACCTCCAAGGTGTCAGTTCCCTAAAAATGATTGCCGCCTAGAAAGCTCACTTACTTGAGTTAAAAGGTAGTCGATAAAGAAGCCTAGAAGCACCAAGAATCTCATCTCGTTGGTTCGCACGTCCGAAACGAAAAACCCAAAAAAAAACAATCGAAAAACGGAGAAAGGGATTATGCCAAAGAGGCTGCAATAACATTTTCAATTCACCTTATCTGTATAATTTGCAGGCGCTAAAAATAGATCCGAAGATTTTTTCTCATTATTTTCATTGATTCCGCCAATCCCTCCATTTATTCTGACGATTTTTCGTTGCTCGTACAACCACTGTTCGGTCTCCAGAAAGTTTCCAAACATCTTCTCGCTTCGGATATTCGTAAACATGGTCGTGGCAGAAGTTAGATTTTGTGGTTTTCCGGATCCATCCACAATATTTGTTTATCCAGTTGGAGAAATCTAAAATGGAGCGATTAGCCGTATTTGTTGGGTCCGGATACCCCATGGTATGTCCAGATAGTCACAACCAGCGCCGAGGTGCCCCGTGACTACACCGAGCTGCACGTATTCCCATTGGTTCGGGAATAATTCCATTTTGGCAATGATCGGGCCCCCAGAATCTCCCAGAAAAGGGTTTTAAACTTCAGTTTCGGCTTTAGAATAGACTCAGGCTTAGGCTTAGGCTTAGGCTTAGGGCTTAGGGTATGCTTAGGCTTAGACTTAGGCTGAGGTTTAGGCATAGGCTTCCGTTAGGCTTAGGCGGAGCTCAGCTGAGGCTGAACTAGTATTTGACGCTATACCTACATAGCAAGTGCCTTCACCGTGCAACCCTGCAAAACAGAACATGGACTTGGGCACCTTGCAGGGACGGTAGAAGGTAGCTTTCTGTAGCCTCGCAGGAAATTGACGGACCTTAAAAAAGCTAAAATTAGTACGAAGCTCTAAATGGAAATCGGTGACCTGCCGGGGTCCGTCCGTCCACAGCCCAACACCTCGATCTCATCGACTAGCTCGACCGGGAAATTTTTCCACAAATTAATACGGGCGGTCCCAAGGGTCTTTAGCGGTTCGCTCAACTGAAATTTAGTTAAAGTTTAAAATTTCTACAAATATTTCCTTTCACTCCAGTAGCGCAACGTCAAATCGTTTCTCGTTCCGCGCCGCGCGCTAGCCCCATTTGGACTCGTGAACGCGTTCTTGATACCGACTTTTTGCTGGAAAATGGTGGATTGATAACCTCGATTTAGTCGTCAGTAAAGTGCCTTACCGCCCAGGGTTCCGGTGATCCGGTTTTATCAAGCCGAGACGTACCAGCAACCACGACCTAATCGGTGAAGTTCTTTCCTGAAATTCACTCTTTGCAGTTCACCTTGTTAGCAACGTCCAGCACGCTGTTGTCATTTTCTCAAAGGTCAAACAATGGGCAGCTGTCAAAATCCAGCTATGGCCGAGGATCGTTCCGCCGCATGTATGATAGTACGTATCATCACTAAAATTAAATATAAGCATTAACGAGCCTGGGATGAGTTTGTGAGGCTGAAAAGTTAAATCAAAAACTGAAAAAAAACTTCCCCAGCCCGGCTCGGGCGTTGGATAGAGATAATGAAGCTGGTGAAGTTGTCGATGTCGCGCAATCCACCTCCGGCATGATTTTGAGGTTTCTCTGAAAATAAAGGATTGTCAAGAATATAATCCCAAGCTTACATCTGGGGCTAAGCCGGAAGCATTCAAGGCTTCGACAACTTGTCCGTTTGCAAAGACCGAGCCACAAGGAGGAAGTAGAACATTTCTATCAAAATACTCAAAATCCTTGTTTTCTGCGTAACCTTCGAAGATGTCGATATTAGAACAATTTTGCAAGAAACTATTTTCGTACCACGTCCAATATCATTTCGAATTCAATAGCTACAGCCTTTGGCTGTTGCTCTTTGTCTGTTTGTCTGTCTGTTTATTTGTCGACTGTTTAGCAGAAATTTCGTGACAGCACCATTACAGTGAGAATCGTCCCAACAATTTCAATCTTGAGCATGCCATGCA